GCTTAGTTGCTGACTGAGGTTAAACCACGACACACATGCATTTGACCACCAGTCTGTGCAGGGCTTGCCTCTGCGCAGAAGCCTTGTGCAGTGCTTCAAAGGCCTGGAGGACAGCTGGGCTTGGGGCAAAGCACCAGCCAAAAGCAGCAACCCCCAGGGAGTACCGGCACTCGCTCGGGCTGCTGCTGACACTGGCACAGGGATGAGCAAACCCCGAGCCAGCGCAGAAAGGCTGCTCCCCTCTGCCAGGGACAGGGGGTCAGCCTGGTCCCCTAGCACACTCCCCACAGCAGCACCGGTCAGGCAGGGGCTGGAGCTGCTGCGCACCCTGAAGAAGCCCTGGAGGCCCTTTCTGTGGTGCCCACTGCTGCACTGAGATGGGGTATCTGCCCTCCTTGCATTGCTCAGAAAGCATGGGAAGGAGGGCCAGCAGAAGGAGGAGCGGGTGGGTGCAGCAGGCCACACTAGGAGCACACGGATCTGCATGCCTGCACTCATGTTTGAAAAGCTCCTGGGCACACTGGGATCAACAACAATACAGCTATTATACAGTCAAATTATGGTGCCGGAGGCAGTATGAGGCCGTTTAGCACTGGGCTATGCACACCAGAAGGCTGGAAGGTGCTTGTGGCTGGGTAGGGGCTATGCAGAGGTTTGGGAGCCATGGTCAGCCACAGCTTCTGGGCTATGGCTGCGGCACATGCTGGTGCAGAGGAGCCTCCCTGCCCACAGCCTTGCACAGCGGGGTATCCGTGCCTGGCACCCTTCAGCCCTCAGGCTGGAAGTGGGTCCTGCAGCAGGAGGCTGCAGGGTTGAAGGAGGTTTGAGGAGAGAGGGGGCTGGTCCTGCTATGCCAGGGCAGCAGAGATGGCTCCTATTCCCTCGTGAGTCCCATCCCTTAACGTAGGGCCCCTGGCACCAGCGCAGAGTGGGGTGTGCCAGGGCTGGACCGGCCCTACAGAGGCAGGTGAGACCAAGCACGAAGCCCTGCGGCAGGCTGAGGAGACCCACTTGCCCGAGCTCCCGCACCTGAGCCGGCTGGGTCGCGGTGCTGCCCGCCCGCATCTCTGGGCCCGCCAGCATCTCTGGACCCGTCTGCAAGGACGCAGCCAGAGCAGGGCTACCCTGTGGTATGCACTGCTGTACGTGGAGGCGGAGGGGAAGGGCGCTGGCACAGCAGCCCCAGGGAGAGCTGGCACCACACTGACCTTCCTGCGGCGGTCACACTAAGTGGGGATGGTGCAGATCAGCCGTATCTCACTGCCTGCACTGGCGCTGGGACGTGGATCCTGCCTGGGGCTCACAGACCCACATCCTTCCCCGCACTGCCAGGGAACTGCAGTACCTGGTGCAAACACACCAGGGACTGCAGAGAAGCATGCCGGTGCCAGTGGGTGCTGTGCCCAGGGCCCTGCTCACCGCAGGACCAGTGTCTCCAGTGGGGCTCTGTGCACCCAGCTCCAGCCCTGTGTGCCCATTCCAGCTCGTCCTGCGCCTCTCTGGGCCAGGTCAGCACCTTTTCATTGCAAGGGCTCCTCTGTCCCAGCCGTGCTCCAGGCTCGCTGCCCATCCCGGGGGGAAGGTCCCAACAGGCACCAGCTCCTTCCACCCTGTGATGTCAGTGCGAGTGCGGCTGCGCGGGCTTGGCTCTGCCCAGGCAATCCTGTTTGTGTTTATAGGTTCAGGACTGCACCTGGCTCTGGTGCCAAGAGGTGGGGATGGCAGGAGG